ACTAGTCAATTTTTTTCTTCTTTTAGTGAATTATTAAGTTAATTTTCAATAACATTAATAATTGATAAAAATTATTGAAATATGATTAACGAAGATGAAAACTTAAATATGAAAATTCTATTGTTGCTTCAACCTAAGTTTAGTTTATTCTATTTAGTAACTTGTAAAAATAGAATGAAAATAGTTAATTACTTCTTCCTCAAATGTATAGAAAATTTTTTGGAAATTTTTAAAAAAATCAATTGAGAATTTCTTCAAAAATTAAATTTTTTTTTTTACAAAAAAACATAAGCAAATATACTTAAAATATAGCAAATATTCATTTTACTAATCATTTAGTTAAGACAAACTGATTGAAGAAACTTATCTCAATTTAAGACTATGTGAAGTTTTACTGTCTTAAAATATTAATATTTGATATTAATTAGTCTTAAGATACAAATCTTAATATTTTTCAGACGAAGCTGCAACGTTTTTAATTAGCTTTACCACCAGTTCTGTAGATGCACTTCTTGAGTTATCAAAATCGGACATTAGTAGTCATAAAACAAACGTTATTTTTATGTATTGAAACTTGTTTCATTATAATCTATATTTAAGAATTTTTCGGGAGATCGGCGGATATATCCGCCCAACTTTTTATACGTTTTTGACTGTAAATAAAGTAGATAAAGAAAAGAAATCGATCATTGTAATAATTAAGATTGAATGAAGCATAAATAAATGAACACCATATTTGTAATAAGTAAGAAAGTGTGCTTTGGAATTGCTTGAACTTGTAACAATCGAGTTTCAATTACACAATTAATTTCTTTTTATGTTACTTAAAAATTATATAATAAAACTACTTTTTCAAATAAAGTATTTTTTTTCCCTTCTTTTAGTGAATTATTAAGTTAATTTACAATAACATTAATAATTGACAACAAATGCGCGGCAAAACAAAACAAGTTTATTGAAATATAAAGAATAACTTGAAATTTTCCATTGGCAAAATTAACATGAAAAAAACATGTTTTTTTGACGATTAACGATGATGAAAACGTAAATATGTAAATTCTATTGTTGTTTTAACTTAAGTTTAGTTTATTCTATTTAGTAAATTGTAAAAATAGAATGAAAATAGTTAATTACTTCTTCCTCAATTGTATAGAATAATTTTTGGAATAATTTTGAAAAAATTAAATTTTTTTATTGCAAAAAAACATAAGCAAATATACTTAAAATATAGCAAATATTCATTTTACTAATCATTTAGTGAAGACAAACTGATCGAAGAACGTTAATTTGATATATTTAAAGTTTATAATAAAAATTCTCATTTTTTTTTATCAAATTTTCAACACATTTTTACGTTGCAATAGATGAGAGGAAAAGATATTAGCATTCATACACCAAAAAAAATAAGAAAAAAGTAGTGTTTTAAACAACGTAATTTCAGCTGTTAACTGGAATGAAACGGTGGAAACTTTATACGAAACAGTATAACAATTATAAAATTGCGAATGGAGTCGGCTCGAAGTTCATCAAATCTGCATAATGGGAGGCGGTAATACGAACGTTGGTGGAGTCAGAGGTGGCGGTGGAAAAGGGCACTTTACGTAACGTGCCGACATTTGTTTCTGACTGTTGCCGCACACCGATTATAGTTTTAATACGTTTTTAGTTTAGCTTAGTTCTTCATGCGCATTGTTCTTGTTGTTGCTGTTAAAAATTACTGGTGTCGGGGCCAATGCATGTTGTTCCCATTTACATACAAATACAGAATGCACCCATCGTCGGAGCCACAGAAAACCCCCTGAATTGTAATTTATAAGAAATAAAAAAGGGTTTAAAAAGTGGTGTTAATTTGCTGACAAATTTTAAGCAATTTGAAATAAATATTGTATTTACATTTTCGTTGATATCTCGATTACCACGAAGGTTATTTATAAGATTGAATATGTAAATAAAAGCTAAATATATTGGGAATATAATGATCGTAAAGTGAGAGTTTTACTACTTCTCAATTTTTAGTTATTTACTGTTAAAATTGAAAAAAAAAAATTAAGCAGTGTCATTTTTATTAATATCTCGATTATCACAAAAGTTATTTATAAGATTTAAATGAAAGCTAAATATATTGGGAATATAATGATAATAAAGTGAAAGTTCTAGTACTTCTCAATTTTTAGTAATTCACTGTTAAAATTGAAAAAAATAATAAAATTTTAAGTACATTCATTTTTGTTAATATCTCGATTATCACCAACGTTATTTGTAAAATTGAATATGTAAATAAAAGCTAAATATATTGGGAATATAGTGATCATAAAGTGAGAGTTTTAGTACTTCTCAATTTTTAGTAATTCAATGTTAAAATTGAAAAATAAAATAAAATTTTAAGCAGTGTCATTTTTGTTAATATCTCGATTACCACGAACGTTATTTATAAGATTGTATATGTAAATAAAAGCTAAATATATTGGGAATATAATGATTATAAAGTGAGAGTTCTAGTACTTCTCAATTTTTAGTAATTTACTGTTAAAATTGAAAAAAAATAATAAAATTTTAAGCAGTGTCATTTTTGTTAATATCTTGAATACCACGAACGTTATTTATTAGATTGAATATGTAAATAAAAGCTTAAAACATATGGAATATAATGACCATAAAGTGAGAGTTCTAGTACTTCTCAATTTTTAGTAATTCACTGTTAAAATTGAAAAAAATAAAATTTTAAGCAGTGTAATTTTTGTTAATTATCACAAAAGTTATTTATAATAATTGATATGCAATTGAAAGCTAAATGTATAAGGAATAATTTGATTATTACAAGGGTGTTGGATTTCGTTCGAACGTTTAATAATTTGTTGTTAAACTTGTGTTTTTTTTTTCTGCGAAGAAAACTTTTTCTGCTCACTATTGTCAAGTGAATGTGCGCTAAATATTTAGTGTGCACGTGTCCACGCGAAACGCAAATTAAACGTATCCTAACCATATTAGTGGACGATCTTCGTTCGGGTCGCATTTTTCAAGGTCCACTTCTCTTCTCAAAATCGCCTAAAAATAACGACAAAAGTATACATTGTGTTCGCTCGTGTATAAGCAATTTCGGTTGCGTTACATTCGTAACATATTTGTTTATAGGCGTTTAAAAAACAAACTTGCGGTTTTGCTTTACGACGTTTCCTACGTTTCCTACCTTTCCACCACTTCTTTACTGCGCTTTTAAGGATCCACGTGTATATTATTATGAAGGAAATTAGTTACGCAAAGTTTTCTACGAAAGCCCTAATTACCTTCCAAACTCGCTCATTATTTTCGCTCAAAAAGAATGAACGAATAAGGAAAAAAAAAAAATGTGTATAAAGTAAACGTGTACAGAGGGACGGTGAGAAAAGAACGAACTCAAAAGCATAATGAAAACCAATTTAGGGTGAACGAGAAAATTGGGAAAAAGAAAGAGAGATGAAGGTGACGTTGATATTAATTTCGCAAAAGAGAAGAGAAAAAAAATATAATAATTATTATTATAATAATAATGAAACAAATGAAGTGAAAGTCGGATGAAAGTTAATTCAAAGGCTTCTTTTTTTGGTCGGATGAAAATCGTTGTATCATTGGTTTCGTCGCGCACACGTTGGGATTTGCACGTTTTCTTTTTTTGGTTGTTTGTAAGGAGGCTGAAAACGTGATTCCGTTGTTATGTGATGATGATTACTCATTATCCATCCGTCGAGGCCACGTGACGTCCGCAGGACACGTGGATTTTCAATGCTGCTGCTGCGGAAAACATGCGAAAACACGTCAATATCGAAGCAGGCTGAAACGTGATGAGCGTTAAGAAAATTCGAATCGTTGAAAACGTTTCATTACGTAATTGAAAAAAATGAAACAAATCTGTATTTGACAACTGTTTTTCGGTTCACTTCAGCTGCAGATATTTAGTTTGTCAAATGACGCATTTTGTCTCTTTGTAAAATTACAATTGTGATGAATAATCATTGTTTGTTGCAGGAAATATAATGGTCAAAATTTAACAATAAAAAGAATTTATCATAATTTGTCAACTTCAGCGTCAATTTATCAAGTCTCAGCACAAATTTTCTAAATAATTTACTTTAAACGATTGTTTTATTAACACGCCATCTGTTGCTAATCTCTTGAAGCTTATTACAAAATGTATTACTTCTAACATTTACTGAATGCAAATGATTGCAAATGCGAACGGTAATGTAAAATATCGTTGAAATCGAAATCCTGTGATTAATTTATATAATGTAAATTGGACGATTACGGCAGCAAAAGTGTCGGTGAACATTTCAATTACGTCGAACGCAAATAGACTCGGATGCGAACGCTAATTAAAAGAACAGGCCTTCAGCAAAGTCGATATTTTTTTGGTGTCTGTATTGTTGTCGCTTTACACACAACACACAGACAGATATACACAGATCTGTTTGTTTTAGGTGGAAAAGTGAATGAGATTAATTTAAATTGTGAATGGAACGGTTGAGCTGTGCGCTACAAAACGGTGTAATGGTAATAATGTAACACTCGACATTGTAACGATAATAAATAAATCCCAAAGCAACGTGCACGTATGTAAGCTGCTTCATGGGATGCTCATAAATGGAGTAAGTGCTATTTAGTGGTTGCAGAAGCTATTGACCTATTGCCATAAATTGATGGAGGAGCAAGAAGCAACCGACTGAACGTAATTGCGAAGAGACGAGATAATGCGGTGGTTCGGGCCCGAAATTTAACTGCCACCAAGTTCCGATGATCCCGCTCGCAATTAAATCATAAATTCTCTCACTGTTATTTCATATATTAACATGCTTATCTCAGCTTATCTCCACAATAGTTCAGTGTAATAAGTATAGCAATACTTTTGCATTCAATTCTTATCGTTTGTGCAAATGTTAACTAAGATTATTATTATACATAATGAATCTGACTTTAAGTTATGTCTTTGGGTGATTAATCTAAGTTGTTATTGTTCTTGTTTGCAGTTGAAGCCGAAATGGAAGTCGGCGGACAATTTGGAAGAGAAACAGGTCCAAAGGTATGTAAAACTAGGAACAATTAGGACGCTTTTCAGAGCTCGACCGTTCGAGCAGCTCACCTTAATTGGCGAATCGTAAATCGTTTCAAAGTCGTGCGCACTTTTCATCGTGTTCAATTCTGTAAAATTATTATTGTTGTTGTTGTTTCTTTCATAAAACGACAATGAAATTCGTTAAATGTTAGGATTGTTATTGCAAATGCACGCGGCGAAACCGCTTCTATTTTTTTTTGGTTTTTGTATTATTTGTTGCACGGCACGACGAACTTTCACTTGGGTACAGCGTGTACACCGGAAAAGTGCGCTCTCTGTTAGAACAATGACATTTATGTGATTGTGATTGCTTTCGTTTGGAATGGGAGGATAATTTACAAAAGAATATTATAATAATAATATGAGAGAAATGAAGAAAAAAGAAAAAATGTAAATTGAAAACTTAACGCCAAGTGGGGAATTTATGCATTCGCGGTTAATGAGGGGAAAAAAAGACGATGAATAAGTTTAGCATTCATAAAAGTGTCTTTGAACTTGTAGAATATATAAAAAAAATAATAATATGTGATGAAAGCGTTTATTTTTATACTGTGTACAAAGTTGTTGTTTTTTTTTTGTAAGAATTAAAAATGTAGAGCTATAAAACATTTACTGTATATTTGGTAAAGTTGGTAATATTAATTTTGTAAACTTTTCGTATGGATTATTTTATCATTATTGTAGAGGGTGGCCCAATTGAACTGCAACAAACTTAAAACTGCTATAACTTTTGAAACGTTGGTAATGTTGTGAAATGAGAAAAAATTCCCCAATTGAGAAATTCGAAAACAAACAAAATTGGAATTTGAACTTTGTATTTACTCAAAAGTAAAAAAAAAATGTGAATGTTATCTCACTCTAAACGTGATCTTCTAAGTTATTTTGTTATATCTACAAGTTTTTATAAGTATTTCACTTTTTGTTGATTTTCTCAAAGAAACTTTTCTGTAAATACAAAAGACTTTTTCATATATATTAATAAATTTAACAATATTAGTAGAAGATTTATTTTCTTTATTTAAGCAATTTTAAAACTTTAATTCCATTTTTTTTTAAGAAAATTGAAACGAAAATATTAACAAAAAACTTTGATTATGAAATTAATTAATTAATTGTTAAAAAAAAAAATCAATTTTAGTGTAAAAATGGAAATCTGTAAGTAGATGAATGAAATTATTGAGTTAATTGGAAAATTAAAAAAATTTCATATTTCTTTGTACATAAAAAGTAATTTTAATTATGTAATTTTTAAGATATTTTTGTATATTACAAAGTTTTGGAGACACGATGCGAATATCCGAAGTGATTCGATGTAAATGCGTTGTATAATGTTGCTTTATTGATGGTGGAGTGCCCAATTTTCATAAATTCCTTAATGTTACATAATAAATCGAAGTGGCGAACTTATTATCTGGAAATTTGCCACGCAGTTAAACTCTGCATCGTAGTTATGAGCGATAAATTCCATGTTTTTTTTTGTGTCTTAAATAATTATACTGTATGTTCTAAATTTTTGTTTTTTTCTTTTTCTTTTTGTAGTTACGATGTGAACGCGATGAACGAAAAGAACGAGAATCCTGGAAGGCCACCACGTCCCCTCTCCAGATCGACCACATGGACGGAAGTCGAGCTGGAGGTGCCGGAGAAGAAGAAAGAGAGCATCTTCAACGAGAATTCCACTCCGATTCCACCGCCGAGGAAACACAAGAAGGGAATCCGCGAGAAGTTGGAGTCGGTGGCGAAGAGCAGTCTTCAGGCATTCCAGAACAAGAAGCCGGTGGAAGAGCCGCTCTGCGTCAAGAAGATTATCAACTACACGTGTCCGTGCGGCGATCCCAATCACAAGAAGAACCATAAACACGAGGACGTGAACAAGGATGTCGCAGGTCTTAAGGAGCAGGCGAGGAAGAGAAAAACGCCTTCCGTTGCCTCCTTACCCAACTACAACGAGTTCAAGCTGAGCATCGCCGGTGAAACCAACGTGGATTCGGATAGACACAGCTCGGCGCAATCTCTGCCCGACGACTCGAAGAAGTCCTCGACGAAATCCTCAGCGGATAAGTTGGACAACTACTTGACCAGAGCCAGGAGTTTCGGGTCTCTGCTTCCGCAGATGCTCCTTCATAAGTTGAGCACGGCGAAAGCTCCGTTGGCCGAAATCGAGAGCGACGATTCTCTGAACGGTCTCGACGATTGGGGCCTGAACATGATCGAGCATTACAAACCGAAAGACTCGAGCTTACCGCGACCTCGTCGAAACGACGTCGACAATCTCGCCGATTTGGAGAGCATGATCGTCGCGACGGACGACGAAACCACCCCGATCGCCCCAACCAGAAGATCCGAGTCTCTGCTGAAGAGGATCAACAGGGAAGGCAACGAGAGCGCCAAGCAAAGAACTAATGGTCACCTGGAAGGATCCATCGAGAGATCTCTCAGCGTGACGCCACCTCCTTCACCTGATGAAAGGGACTCAAGGAAACCCAGAATACCAGCAGATCAGCTTCCTTTAATCGAAAACGGCGTCGTCGAACACTCCAACCTCATGAAGATCCTCGAGGAATGCAGCGAAAAAAACCAGAACAACAATAACAACAACACAACAACAATAAGCACGCAGCCTATAAACGACTTTCTGAACGCCGAAAGAGCCGACTACAATTTCAACAAAATCTCACAGCAGAACGCGATCGTCACCTGAAATCATCTACAACCTTTTGCACAATCAACACAAAGTCTCCTTTTTTTTTTTCCTAACATGAAAAGCAATCAAAATTTACAATGTGATACAACTTAATTGCATGAAACAAAGCTAATGTAAATGCAATTTACATGTTACAAGTCGTTTCTCCATCAATAAAAATAAGCAAAATTACACGTTGTGATAGTTTTAATATTTAATTTAATTTTAGTTGGATTTTTTTTAATAGTAAATAATATAATTTATCTGATTTGATTTAATTCAATTTCAATCAAATATACATAGCGAATACATTAATGTTATTAATATGAAATAAAGTGGAGTTGAAATTATTTATACAGTTGTAGAATTTAATTGAATAACAAATAGGTGATATAATTCGTGTAGTTGATTCATGTTTGTTAATTTTTACTTGTAATTTGGTGATTGAATTGTGTTTGATTTTTTTTATAAAAATTTCGGTTTCATTCTGCGAAAATTTCGATCGACGAACGAGAACGAGAAGAAACATGATGTTTTTTTGTATAAATGTGTACATAAGAATTTAAATAAATTTAAATAACGAGACTCTCTGCGTTGTTTAATTTCGTTTGCCTTAAATGTAAACTGTTTACCTTATATTTATATTGAAAATACGTAACAAAATGTTCATTATGTTTTTACAAAACTTTGCTAAAATTTTATACTAAATTATAAGGAAATAATATATAGATTTTTGATGATGCAAGAAGTTTTCAATATTATAATTTTCATTACATTTCATTCAATGAATATACATGTTTCCTTTGTAATAACTTCAGATATCTTTCTTGGTATTATCTAACATTAAGACGTATACATTCACGGATGTATGTGGAAAATCGTTCCTTTTGTTCGTTAAGATTCGTTGAGGGATGAATGAGGATCGAGGATAATGCATCCCGAGTGGCGGATAAAAACAATTAAATGGGTTGACTGTCTTGCATCCGGAATCAAACGGTTCTTCTCCTCATTCCGTCCTTCCTTCCTCTTCGTTGGCAAAAGTTTCGGTGCTGCGAAATGCGCGATTCCCCCATTTGCATAGAATTAAGTCCTCCGAGGGAAAACGGCTTCGGCATTAGGTGCATATCTCGGATCACGATGATCCCATTCAAAAATATGTAATCCAAATTAGAAATGAAGAAACGCAAATTTCTCACAATATTTTCGTCTTTTCTTTATATTAAAATCAACAATTAAACATTTTAATAACAAAAATAAATGTAGATTTTCACATTAACAATGTAAGATTTGTAAAGTTTTCACAAAGCGAGTTTATATCAAATAGTAGAGTAGAGTGAAAATATTGAATTTGTTAATTTTAGTTGTAAATCTTTAACTTTTATTTTAACAATTCTTGCAAAAATTAATAATGTTTTGAAATTTTTCATTTACTATGTTTATCAACAGTCTTTAGAAACTAATTAAGTACGCTAACCGAGTTTCCATCACTCAGTTGAGTAGTTATTTGAAAATGACTAAAAATATTGACTTTGTTAATTTTTGTTGTAAATCTTTCATTTTTCTTTCAATAATTCTTGTAAAAATTAATAACCTTTTGAAAATTTTCATTAATTCTGTTTACTAACAGTCTTTAGGAACTAAATAAGTACGATAATCAAGTTTCCATCAATCAGTTGAGTAGTAATTTGAAATTGACTGAAAGTATTTGTCAATTTTAGTTGTAAATTTTTCATTTTTGTTTCAATAATTCTTGCAAATTTTTGATTTTTCTCATTAATTCTATTTACCAACAGTATTTAGGAACTAATTAAATACGATAAACGAATTTCTATAAATCAGTTGAGAAGTTATTTGGAAATTACTGAAAATATTGAATTTATCAATTTTAGTTGTAAATCTTTCATTTTTATTTAAATAATTCTTGCAAAAATTTACAATGTTTTGAATTTTTTCATTAATTCTGTTTACCAACAGTCTTTAGGAACTAATTAAGTACGATAACCGAGTTTTCATCAATAAGTTGAGTAGTTATTTTGAAATTTTTCATTAATTCTGTTTACCAACAGTATTTAGGAACTAATTAAATACGATAATCGAGTTTCCATCAATCAATTGAGTAGTTATTTGAAAATGACTGAAAATATTGAATTTGTCAATTTTAGTTGTAAATTTTTCATTTTTATTTCAACAATTCTTGCAAAAATTAATAATGTTTTGAAATTTTTCATTAATTCTCTTTATCAACAGTCTTTAGGAACTAATTAAGTACGATAAGCGAGTTTCCATCAATCAGTTGAGTAGTTATTTGAAAATGACTGAAAATATTGAATTTATCAATTTAAGTTGTAAATCTTTAATTTTTCTTTCAACAATTCTTGCAAAAAATATTAACCTTTTGAAATTTTTCATTATTTCTGTTTACCAACAGTATTTAGGAACTAATTAAATACGATAATCGAGTTTCCATCAATTAGTTGAGTAGTTATTTGGAAATGACTAAAAATATTGAATTTGTCAATTTTAGTTATAAATTTTTCATTTTTATTTCAATAATTCTTGCAAATTTTTGATTTTTCTCATTAATTCTATTTACCAACAGTATTTAGGAACTAATTAAATACGATAAACGAATTTCTATAAATCAGTTGAGAAGTTATTTGGAAATTACTGAAAATATTGAATTTATCAATTTTATTTGTGAATCTTTCATTTTTATTTCAATAATTCTTGCAAAAATTTACAATGTTTTGAATTTTTTCATTAATTCTGTTTACTAGCAGTCTTTAGGAACTAATTAAGTACGATAACCGAGTTTCCATCAATCAGTTGAGTAGTTATTTGAAAATGACTGAAAATATTGAATTTGTCAATTTTAGTTGTAAATCTTTCATTTTTATTTCAACAATTCTTGCAAAAATTAATAACCTTTTGAAATTTTTCATTAATTCTGTTTACTAACAGTCATTAGGAACTAAATAAGTACGATAATCAAGTTTTCATTAATCAATTGAGTAAGTATTTGAAAATTACTGAAAATATTGAATTTGTTAATTTTAGTTGTAAATTTTTCATTTTTATTTCAATAATTCTTGCAAAAATTTATAATGTTCTTTATTAACCAACTAATGTTGGTAATATTGAATAAATATATAAACTTTTGATGAAGAAATGTTGAAAGCTTTGCGTCGATAATGAAGGAAAAAATGGAAATTATGAAGTTATTTCCGATTGTCATTCAAATTCCTCTTCGTCGAGCAGCCACGGTCTGTTTTTTGGCAGAGAATGCCTGCTAATTCCGGGCATCATCTGCTCTCTCTCTCTCTTCCTTTTCAAACGGCCAATGCATTTAAATGTTACATTTGGCCCGAGGAAAGTCAGAAAAGATTGGTCGGGCTGCTGCTGCCGCTTCTGCTGCAGACCGGAGGAAAAATACCAGTAATCGCCCAACCATGACCTCCGTTTACGAGGAGAGCGCAATTTTACACTAATTTGAATACACACCCCTTAATCGCGCGCTCGACACATTGAGAAATATACAGTCGACGATGGGGGCGAGCATCGTTCCATTCCAATGGAAATTATACGAACGTTCCTCGCATTTCGACTCAACCCATCTCGATCCATCCATACCAAAGTAATAACAAGCCTCGCGCTTTGCTTGTTACCCAAATTACTACATCAATTCCCCTCTTTCACTACGCATCCAGCTTACACATTACGAATTTCAACGTGTTTCGGTTAGTTTTTTTTTTTTGTTCTTAAGAAAGTAACGAATTGTGTTTGAGCGAAAGTAGTGAGAATTATGAGAAGGAAGGACATTGCACGTAAGTGCTGAAAGGATTCGTCGTCGTCGACTTTGCATTTAGAGCGAGCGAGCGAGCGAGCGATGCGGAGAGGAAAGTTTCTGCTGTCGCGATTTTTATCGTTTTCGTAATTATAATTTTCTTGTTCTTGTAATGAAGAAGTGGAGCGGCGTCGGTCGGTTATGTCGAGCCGAATGTTTAGCGGCGGGGGTGGCGGTAGAAATAATTTAATGTAAATGCGAGTATTTAAATGGAATAAAGGCATTAGAGACAAGTGTCTGTGTGGAGAAGGAGAAGGAAGAAAGACTCGGGGCGACACAGATTACACCTTTATCTCCCCTAAAACTAAAAGTTGCAACCCGCAAAATGTCATATACAACTGGAGAACAGAACAACGAAACAAACACACACAAAAAATTATATATATATTTAAGAATTACAAGAAAACGTAAACCATTGTAATGTGTTTTATAAAAGAGTGGAGATAAGAAGTTTAAGGAATTTTTAATTAATTCGTTCAAAAAAAAGTATCACTTTTCTTAACAATTTAACAATTTAAGTATTAAAAGTACAAAGCTTTTGAAAAATGCAAAAATATAAAAATTAGTTCATGACCTACAGAAGTAATATTACTTGAAACAAGAAAAACCACGAAAATCTAATAAATCTTGTAGTTATTTCTTTCTTTGCTAAGTAAACTACGATCAAAATCGTTGTGTTTGATTGAGAACCAATCTTTTGTCCATTAGTTAACTTTAATATAATTTGAATACTCTTAAAAAACTAATGGAAAAAATCAAGTATTCAAACCTAAAATATTCTCAATTTGAAGAAGAAAACTTTAACATCAAAATATTTGACTTTGTAAACAAATAGTTTAGTTTTTTATTAAGAAAAATTTAATTTATTTATGTCGATATTTTTGTTAATTAACATTTTATTCTACAAGGTGGCGCAAAAGTAATGTCATAATTTGAATTGACTATCGTTCTTACAGATGGCGCTAAATGTCACTGTGCTTTGACATTTATGATGTAGATAGATAGAGAAAATTTATAAGTAAACCATGGAACGTCTGCTAATACCTAATTATGTGTATCGTCGTCTTGTTGCGTTAAAACAACAGACTGAAAATTTGTCAATTAAGCAGTAACAATAAATCCACATTCTTGATGTGTGTATCGCTCCATGACTTATTGACACTTAATTCACTATATATCTATATAATAAATGTCAAAGCACAGTGACATTTAGCGCCATCTGTAAAAATGGCAGCCAATTCAAATTATGACATTACTTTTGCGCCACCTTGCATTTGAATTTTCGTATATTTAAATCATATATATACTTAT